ATCCAGCTCTACATCTTGTTATCTCTTTCACCAACTGAACATTTGTTTCTTTTTATTATTGTGTGTTTGCATTAGAACTATATTCAGACCACAGTGAATTCATGTTAACTAAATGCATCAACAGGGAATCCTATCTTCATGGCCTTTGATACCTGTAAATTGATCCAGGTTTTCCACAAAACTGGGAAGAGAATTTGTCGTCATAAGCTTCAGACACATTTTCCTCATCCGCTTACTAAGTGCTGGGAGTCGGCGCTGAAGAGAACTCCCTTCGCCCGAGGCATCATCTTTTCCAATGTCAGGAGAAAACACCTGCAATGGCATTTGATGGTTAAAAATTACGACAGTTTACTGTACAAATTTCAATAATGCATAGACTGAATAAAGAACTGGACTGTTGCTCACCTCTGTCCCCAGAAGAGGGGAAAAAAAACCCTGTTACACATGCAACAACACCGAGGTCGCACAGACAAGTTTAATTGTAGCTGTGTTGGTAATAAGAAGGGCCATTAAAGAGCATTTCAAAATCCAGCTTCGGAATTCCAAACAATGACCAAATGTAAATACTACACACTCACTGCTTTAATAGCAAGGTGATCTTATTTTGAAAGTGACTCATGCTGTGCACCAAAGTTCCAGTCATTCAAATTCTTATGTGCCGCTGCAAACCAACAAACTTACAAACACTTTAATATTTTCTTTAAAAAAAAAAGGAAAGCCAATGTCTTTGCAGAGTGAAAGAATAAGTAGGCAATAGCATTGCCACAAATTTTCAGGTAGCAAAGGCAGGCATAAAACTCAGATGGAACCTACTGGCATGAAAGAAATTATTCTCATATGGAATAGGACTGGGGAGCTACAGATACGCCACAGGCATTTATTATACTTGAAGGTCACGAATATCATCTCGGACAAATGGTATGTGCAGCAAGACTTATGTTCACAACCTCAATTCCCAACAGAAAACCTGTTCTCTTCAACACATTGAGGGGGAGAAATTAACAATGGACTAGCAACAAGGTGGGCAGCAACTGGCTATACAGTAGCAAGATCTGAGGCCTCTGAAATGCACTAAAGGGATGAGTCTGATGAGGAGAAAATCAGTATTTCTTTTTAAAACTCATCATGGAATGCTCATCAAATGTTTATAGCATTTTACTGAGCTGTGTACAGCTTTCAAATGGGACAAGACTACACAATAGCATTAGAATATTCTTTCACACCACTGCTGAATCAATTTCTCTTCTTAAAAACTGGTCACTTGGACTCAACGTGACTATCTCCTTAAAGATAATCCATGGAATAATTGAAAGGAGCAAACGAAAAGCACCACGGAAGTAACAGATTTGTAATTTTGTTAAGCAACATATAGTATGAACTCTATAAGTATTTAAATCGAAATTTAAGCAAGGTAAAGAGTTCAAATGGAAAGTTTATATTTGCTGCAAATCAAAAAGTGAAAACCTCAGACAGTTGCTGTAATTTCTTGAATCACATGTCGTTTCAACAAAAAGATCATTTTCAATAATAGTTATGTCATAGCTTCTTTTCACTGAATTGTTGATCAATGGATGGTGCAATTACAGCTACTCCAACAACTTCCATCTGTGTACCTGTGTTACGTGACACTTCTCTAGAGAGAACTTTCTAAGTACACAATTCAGCTTCTGCAGCCTGGTTTGTTTTTGTTGGTCAATATTATCCAAGCTTCCAGAACTTCCCGTTTCTGTTAATGCAGGACGACATGGATTGTTGAGCACAGCTTCAAACTTCTTCATGAACTTAAAGAGCGTTCTGTGGATACACAAAATAAGTTACAATGAAACAATTTTGTTGAAGATGAACCATAATATCAGGCCTTAAATGTTTGCATTATGGGAATAGATGTATAAATGTGGCTTGAATTCCCTCAGGTTTAAGTGGTTGAGGGTCATCCAAAATGTTGGCAAATAAAATTAACGGATGTGATGGCTTTCTTTGATGGGGATCCCAAACCAAGAGGAATCTTTAATAATTTATGCTAGAGCATGTAGAAGTGAAATCAAGAGATGCTTTACCCATTTCTACTTAGAAAATCAATAAATCTTCCTCAAAATTGATTATGCATCAAAATTGAAAGTATAACAGTTTACTTCGATCTAATGTAATAACGTAAAAACAGCAAAGGGTATGGAGTAAAATTAGATAAATTGGATTGAGTGCCTGAATTTGTATAAATTATTTGTATAAATGCAATTTCACACAAAGTTTGATATTACAACAAACTGTTCTCCAGTGAATCTTCTGTCATTCATGTTCAACAGCCTGGAACTATTTGTTTGAAGTAGTCAGCCATTTATTTTTATATTCAACCTGAAAGAACTGCACAAATCACCAACTGAGAAGGCACCTAGGTATCTAGTCAGTGCTGCTCACACCAACATCAACTTTACTCTCTGAAGACTCGCTCCCTGTACAGACAGGGCCTTCAAACAACACGTTGCTGGAGAGTGGAAACTCAGGCAGAGAACTGTGCTAATAAACGTATGCTCCCCTGCACCATAATGGGGCTTTATATCTTTAGCAGTCATGGTGGTGGTTGCTGGATACCAGTGCAGAATGCCAAAAATCTACAGTCAAGATTATATAGAATGTACAACACAGAAACAGGCTAATGAGTTCAAATGGTCCACATCAGTGTTTATGCTTTGCATGTATCCAACTTCAGTATGACAATCCCTCTGCATCCCTTCTGTTAATTTAGCCTTCCTTTGAACATACCTATGCTGTCTGCCTCAGCTACTCCTTTTGGTATCAAGTGCAAAACCCTAATCACTCTTTACATAAATGTTTCTCCTAAACTTCAAAACGACCACCTTATATTTATGACCTGAAATAAAACAAAGAACTATGGGGGGTGTTGGAGATCTGAAACATAAAATGCCAGTGAAACTCAGCATTCTGCTGCTATTTTCCTTCTCACTGATGTTGTGAGACCTGCTGAGTGTTACCAGCAATTTCTGTTTTTGTGCTATATTTATGGCTCATGGTTTGGGATTCTCCTATGTACTGAAACATTTTTTTCCGTGCCTATCCTGTCTTTACTCATCTTCATTTGGTCATCCCTCACTGTTTTCTGGAGAAAAGACATATTTAATAACATTATGTTGTGGAACAATGCAAATTCTAATTTTCCTCCAATGGCCACACTCCTGGGTTGTGGAGCTGTCCACTCTCTGTGATGATTATGGGTAACGTGCTTCTTTTTTAAAAGGAAATTCGCCAGTACAGACAGGTTACGATGCACTAGGACCTGAAAAGGTGGACTTTCTGGCCCAGAAGTAGGGACTCTACCACAGCGTCCCAAGAGCCGCTATAGTCATGTGCATTTTACAGGATGGAACTGAGCTGCATGATGTATTTCATCCTTATAAAATCTTTTCCACCAACTCGTCTACTGAGGAAGTGAAATTGAAGAATTAAGGGTTTTTCTTTTTTAGATGTTCTGCGAGTATATGGTAATAATAGACTAACTGTATGAGCTTAACTGACTACAACTGCCTCGCAGGTAGAAACAACCCCAAATCGAAGGAACATGTACTGAATCCAGACAGACTTCAGTTCCATCACATACAGGAGGTTCACTGCATGTCAAAAATATGGTGCATACAGGCAGAACCCAGGTTGCTAACACTGTTTCGTTCTGGAATCCATTCATGAGTCGATTTGTACACAAGTTGGACCACAATGCAGGACAATGTAAAATAGCCATTTGTAAGTATGGGAAACGTTCACATGTCAGACCTTTAAAAGTACATCCCTGTATAGGATCGCGTTTGTAAATATGAGATTGTTCATAAGTTGGATATTCATAAATTAGGGACACCCTGTACATCTGCAACCTATTTCAGCTGCAATCTGGTTTCCGCTATATTGTCAGTTTATCACCTCTTTTTTGTCACGAGCCTCGTATTCAGAACTGTTTGAATATTCAGTTTTTGCTGGACTTTTATGGGGGCATGCAGAAATGATTCCTCTAAACTGGTTTGATTTCTGTTGAATTGTGCCACACTTGTTAGGAACCAATACTTTCCTGGGGTTTACCAATGCCCTTCAGCAAAAGAAATCTGCCATCCTTATCTGATCCGTGACATCTGGTCCTGAATCAGACCAAAGTGGTTGAGTCTGAAAATGCTCTCTGTGCAATTAGGGATGAGCAAAATATACTGATTCAGCTTGGAGCACCTATGTCCCATGAAAAATAAAGCAAAAATCTTCACATTACCTGTGTGTTTTCTCTACTGATTGCTTCACGGACCAGAAACTGGCATCATTCCATCGACTAATCTTAACAAAGTCCTGTAGACAGACATATCTGAATTACGACAGGAATTCTGAGGGTAAGTTTAACCACCAATTCAATACTTAGAACACAAAAAAGGGGAAAAAAAATAATTGCACAAGTTAGACAGCAGACCATCTGAGAAGTGAGTAGGAGCATTTTAGCATTTTGAGTCATCTGAAAAGCATGTAAATGCCTAATGACAAATCACTGTCACTGCAATGCAAGTTAAATATACAAGATACTTAAAAGTAACATTCGCTCTAAAACACCAATCACTATACAATGCAATGAATTAACCTTCATTCATTGACATAATTTGTCAACTTTGTAAATACAATCAGTACCATTTTGGTAACTGAGCAGGACACCTCTGCACCCCACCAAAGGCATAGAGAAAAGTTGAACACAACATTTCCTCATTAGAGAGAGGCAGATACAGGTTCAAATTTAACTTCACTCAGTTCTCATTCTGAACCATGTTGGCAAGGGTATGCAGGTTGAAGTCATGCACCTTCCAGCTAGGATTGAAGGGAAAGCAGAGACAGAAATGGGATCCCAGCTCAATAATTCTACTGCCTGCTACCAGGTTATTGGTCATTACCAGCATTTGATCAGCACTATTTCTTCTACTGTTGCTACACAAAAGGCAATCAACTGAAAAAATTGAGAGTAGTTTCTCAAAACTCTGGCAAAAATATATACTTTAGGCATTAAATGAGGATAAAACTGTAAAGCAATGCAGTCGGAGACTACAAACATGTTACTTTCCAATTGCACATATCTCTGAGCCAAAATGCAATCTGCTTTAAATAAGCACTTAAAGAAATAGTCACATTGGAGCACCACTATTTTTACATTGTTACCTTCAATTCTTTCTCAATTGGATGACGGAGCTCAGTTATTTTAACTCGAACATTCTCTGAAAATTGATTGTAGTAGTTGTACAAATTCCAGAGTAAACTGCACAGGTCATCTGTGACAAATAATTTTCTGGTTAACACTCAACTTTATCCATATTGGGTTGTAACTAAAGCCACCCTTAATGAAAGAAATATTTGCAAACGTAATGTTGGACACTGCTTCACAATGGCTCATAAAACATACAAAACGTCATTTGCATTGCTTCTGTTCATTTTCAATGCTCTCTCACCAAAAAAATTAGGATATTCAAGTAGTAGGCATGCCAAAATGCTTTAACTGCCAAATCACAGTGGGAAAATTACCATTATTTCCATACTTCACTCTCACTTTCACGGAAGTACTGAATGAGACCTCCGACTGACTTTATACTAAAACTCATCATAAAATCCTATTCATACTAAAATCATTTCATTTTATAGAAAACTTCTATACCATTTCACCCAGACATCCAGTGGCTACTTGTCTCAAAATATATGGGCTTTGGAAGGATCCAAGGATAATTAAAAACCAAAAGAACTGCGGATGCTGTAAATCAGAAACAAAAATCGAAATTGCTGAAAAAGCTCAGCAGGTTTTGTGGAGAGAAATCAGTTAATGTTTTGGGTCACGTTGCTTCTTAAGTATGAGAAAAAAGCATTAAGACCCAACTTCTTAAACATTTTCAAAGTAATTCAACACATTTTGAATTACCTTTTCCCTCCTGCTCTGGCACTGCTATAACGTGACAGTGAAATGCTAACAGCATGGACAGGCGAAAATGAAACTCTCCCAGGGTAGCTCCTTCAACAAAAGTTTGCAGTGTGGTGATCACTTCTGGCAGCTTCATTTGCTGTTCCACCCCTGTCCAGATTAATAAAAGCACAAAGTTTATTAAACAAACATCTTTCAGCCCCACAACAAAGAATACAATAAAATTCAGAAATAAAACCAGAATACGCCAGAAATACTCAAGAAATCAGGCAGCACATGTAGACAGAAATAAAGTTAACCTTTCAGGTCAAATGGCTTTTCGTCAGAACTGAAGGAAGAAAGAAAATTAAGAGGTTTTAAAGTGAGTCGAAGACGGAGAGAAGAACAAAAAGGGTAGGTCTGCAATGAAAGGTGGAAGGCAGGAGGGATTAACGAACAGAAGCTTTCATGAGGCAAAAGCCAAAGAGTGTGATAATGAATATGGTAAACAAATAAAAAGGGTGATGACCAGAAGATTATGAACAGCAGCTTTGCTTCATCAGTATTTTTTACTATGTGCATGAGAACAAATTACTGTTGGCAAACTAATAGAAACACACACAAATTTGTAACCTAAAATTTGTCTATTACCTCTTTAAATTGGATAGAGTCATACCTAGAACAAACGTGTTTGTTGCAGGCTATTTAAGAGTTTAACAGCGCTGCATCACAAAATCTTGTAGAGAATCACAATTTATCAGAATCTTCCCTGCTCCAGCAAAAGCTACCGCTATAACAGCAAGGCAGAGACTGATAAGAGTTTGCAGCAAGCTACACAGAGGGTGATAAGTACCTGGAATACGCTGCCAGAGGTGGTGGTAGAGGTGGATACAATAGCAATACTTAAGAGGCATCTTGACAGATACAGTTGGTTCTGATATAATGTGATACTTCCGTTCTCGTGCAATCTTGTATTATAAGAAAGTCATATAATAGTCGTGCCATTTAAACTAACGGGGCTGGAATCACGTTCTAGCCAATACAGGTAAACAAAGGTCGCGTTCTACAAATAGCAATCTAAATTCTTCAATTCGTGTTGAAGAAACACACGTTATATCAGAACCGACTGTACATGAATAGGCAGGGAAAAGAGGGAATCAGACCCCACACAGGCAGCAGGTTTTTTAGTTTAAAAAGGCATTGTGTGTTGGCACAGTCTTGGTGGGTCGAAGGGTCTGTTCCTGTGCTTTACTGTTCTTTGTTACTCACCTCCCAACTAATCAAAGCCTGTCATAATGCTGTTGGAGCTGCACACTAACAGCTCAATACCACCCTGGGCCTAGTACCTCATCTGTCACTTTAATCTTTCACACTCTCTACTATTGGCATCCAATGGCAGGTGCATTCACCATCTACAAGATGCACTGCAGCAACTTGGCAAGCACTGAAACGACTGGCCTGCAATAACCACATTCATTTTCCTTTGTTTAGGCAGCACCACCAGAGCCACAACTATCTCAAAGGACAAGTGCAACAACCACATGGGGAACAACGACCATCTCTAAACACACTATCCACCGTGAAAATATATTACTGTTGTTTACAAATTGCTACTTTAAAATCCTGGAACTTAAGATCTAATAGCACAGTGGAAGTACCTTCAACGGCATTAAATGCTGACTTTGATTTAATAAGATCACCACATCTTGATAACACTGAACTAGAAATAGTTAGCTTTGATTTTGTTCAGTTCAATCGCACCCAAGATACTCCTTTAATTCAACAGTGAAATGACTCATTACAATTGCCTGATCAAATTCACCATGCTTATGTGATGGAATTTTCAAATATCAAATATGACAGACCTGAATGCTCAACTTTAACAGTGTAGACTGGAGGTGTTCTGAAATGTTTTTACATGGATAAACTGCCTTCAGAATTTTGCTGTAATCAATAAAATAATTGCAATGCCGATCTACCTTGCAGATTTTCTTCCACACGTTCCTGAAGGTATTTTTCAATTAACTGGTAGATCGAAAACCAATGCTTGGTTGATTTCTCCATGTGCCTTTTCATCACAACGTTAAGACTACTAGACCAGCAACTGCAGATGGAGATTAAACACAAGTCATGAGTTATAGAAGGCTGGGAAGCAAAGATCAAACTTCTGCTTCATATGTAACGTAGTAAGAATCAGAAAACAATTTTTAAAAAAAAGGTTTTAAAAGAATTGGAAGATAACCTAAGATTCACGTCCATGACTGCTATCTCATGACTTCTGTGGAAACAGGCAGTGGGAATGTCGGCCAAGGACACAATAAGACAAGCTCTCTGGATGTGAATGAGACCACTCAACAGTCCAAAGGTCAAGTGGGCTGGAGAGGTGGGAGTGATACATTTACAACGTCTCACAGTATTCCTTTTAGATTTGTTGACAAAGGTCAATGCAAGTGTGAGAGAGGGGTGTGTGTGTGTGAGTGGTGAGAGGGAGAAGGAGAGGGAGAGGGAGAGGGAGAGATGTCTGACAACTTGACTCATGCCCCAGCATACCTGAAAATTTTAGAAGAGAAGGTGCAAAACTGGTAGAATAAAATGTAAGCATCGAGGATTGCATTGATTCAAGATTTCGGTCACCCCACAGCATTTTGTAACTAACAGCACAAAAAGCCCAGGTAACCTACTGAAACAAATTTTTGAGTGTTGCGTCAACATCTTGCAGGACAATTATTCATTCTTCTTGATCTAATCATACAGTTTGACAATACTGATTTGTAGTTTAAAAGCCAATATTGATAAAATAAATTAGATTGGATTACTTCCAAATGTTCCCATGAGAGGGATGGTAGTTTTTATACAAAAGGATTTACTTGCAACAATTTCAATTCCCAGGAATCTGCTGCCATAGGAAAAAGTGGAAATGAAGCCACCGACCACCACATGTCTAACATAGTTAAGTAATGATTCTTACTTCAGCTCCAGTTTGCGCCATTGGATGATCAGTTGGCTGACAGCATCAAGGTGCTGCCTTAAGGACACCGATCGACTAGCAGTTGCTTCCCAGTCCTACAAAACAAAAATGATTAGGGAATTTCCGAACAAGGCTAGTGATGAATGAACACTGGAATGTAAATTTTGTCAATTTGAGAGAGTAGGACAATGGGAGGGGAAGAATGGCTCACCTGGGATTTGCACAAGAGGATCTCCATGCCGTTTAAGAATTTCGCCAGAGCACTAGAAACAGGAAAGCTTCTAATTCTGTCCATTACAACCAACAGCTGTAAAACAAAAATCAGCCTGTCTTGAACTTCACATCAAAAATGTGCCAGGCGATTTCATAAAGAAATGTTGGCATATTGTAAATTTCAGACATGCATCTTGCTGCCAAATTGAGGCTAAAATACTTCTAACAAATCTGTCATAAAGCATCAGAGCAAAATAATGTAAGACAGCAGTAACTGCTATAAATATACACCAGATCTAGGTAAGTATCAAACCTAGTCTGAAATTATACTTAAGCAGTTCAATCTGAATTTACATATTGTCTGCAGATGTTAGCGTATTATATATAGTGAATATATTTCGCATTTTTGTCTTAAATTAGCAATACTGTAGTGCTACAGCCTTTCCACTACAATTATTATAGCTCATTTCTCTTTCTCACATGCCCTTATCTATCAAGCCTTGGTTTAAAAATAATCTTTTGCAGCTGATCAGAAAAATTCAGAAACCAGTGTAGTCCAGAGTGCTGAGGTATGTCTCTTTGTGCCAAATGTAATGATCAATGTATTTGACTGTTAATTATTTAATACTTATAAGCACTTAACTATTTACATTTTAAATACATAGCTGTTGTTCAGCAAGACTATGGCGCAAGATTTCTAACAATATGTTAGCACTGAGAGACAATAATGACAGTAAATGCTCATACTCACAAGTGCTTTCCTCAAACCAGGTGTGCAACAGAAAAAGAGCTTCTATTCTGCAGCGACCCTGTACCTGATTTTGGAATGCCAACAACGTTATTGGAAAATCCTGAGATAGGAGCAGGGGTAGACCAAATGGTTCACCGAGCCTACTCTGCCTTTCAGCACAATCATAGCTGATCTCGAGCTTCAACTCCACTTTCCCATCTGCTTTCTGTATTCCTCAAGACGAAAAAAATTGTCTAAACCAGCCTTAAATGTGTTCAACAATGGAATGTACCAATTATTTGAAGTAGACAATTCCAAAGATTCACAATCCGTCATCTCAGTTCTAAAATGATCAGTCACCTATCCTAAGGTTGCTGTCCTAAGCAGTTTTAAATTCTCCATCCAACAGAAACAATCTCAGTGTTTACTATATAAAGAGATCAGAATTTTGTACATTGCAATGAGATGTCCTTTCATTCATCTAAAAACTAGAGAATCTGGGCCCAATTTACTCAGCCTCTCATTATAAGCCAACCCTGTCAGCCCAGAGATCAGTCCTCTGAACCTTTGCTACACTGCCTCCAATACAAGTATACCATTCCTTAAATACAGAAACTATTGTTCCACCTAGCTTTCCAGGTGTGATTTGACCATAGCCCTGCACAATTGTAGCAACTTCTACTCGTCTTCAAATCTCCCTGCACCAAATGACTTTCTCATTGCTTATTGTATCTACATGCCAAGCTTCTGTGGTCCCTGCATGTGCAGAACCAGTCTCTAAGAATATCAACTTTTACAAGTTTCAAACCTTAAGAGACTGATCCACTAGTGACAGAAAAGCAAATGGGGACACAGAGTTGTCACCTTAACACAAAAACTGAAGGCAGAATCTTATGCTGAAACACACCAACAAAATGAAAAGGATTATGTTTAACGGTGTGAAAAGGTGCAGAATGCAGCAACTAGATTCTCCTCACCTGCAGCAGAGCTGGATGATCAGGCCAGTCCAGTAGTAATTCTTTCACCTTTTGGGTGAAGCTTCTCAGGATGGGCTGGCACTTTTTAGCTTCCTGGATGTTTGGATGTTGGTAGAAATCATAGGTATCTTCCTGGGGCAGGATGAGCTCAGAGGTTTCTTCGCCCCCAACAGTGTTTTGGATGACAGAACTGATCAATAGCTGACTACCCTGAAGCTCTCCATTCAAGGAACTATCTAATGTGAACAAATAATAGTTCAATTAAAACAAACCAAATTAACATTTATATGATCAGTAATAAAGAGAGAATGCAATTGTAATACACAGGTTAACTTTCAAATTTCAGGTGTTTATCTCCCTCATTTACTTCAATTTTAATTATGTGGCTTTAAAGTTCAATTTGGGAAGAATTAATGGCATAAATTTTGCCCTGGAAATCTTGTGCTCTTGTACAATTAGCTAATGACTATTACTTTCATACGTCTGAATGTATTAGGACAAAAACTGAAGAAAAGGTGTAGGTTTAAGAAAGCAGTTCCTAATTTTTTTTAAATATGCCAATGAAGTGATTTCCACAGACTGGATTGTTTTGAAGTGCTGTCAGCAAATAGAGCTATCATTTGGAATGCAAGATCCCTTAAATCAGTTTAATGATCTCTTAATCTTAAGGGCTGGATGCCCTATTCCTACACGTAGGTTCCTAGCTCAGCTTTCACCAGTTAATGGCAATCATCTACAGTTAGAAATATGAGATTTTATCTGCAGTTGACAATATTTGTTGAGAGAGAAATATGGGAATTTAAAGCTGAAAAACACCAAGGTCCATCTAGACCATCTTCCAAAGTCCAGGTGGTTACAGAATAAAAAAGAAAATACAGTGCACCAAACACAGTAATCATTTAGGAAGCAAGAAAGCTCCAATATTGGAGAAATTTTGCAGTCAGTCATCTGTTCCTCCGAAGTACAACACAGCTTTTTAGTGTTTCATTTGATGTGCGCATTGCTGGCAAAGACTGCATTTATTGCCCTTTCTTCCATTATCCTTGAACTAAGTGGCATACTAGGCAATTCCAAAAAGTAGTTAAGAGTCAACCCAATTACTGCGGATTTGGAGTCACATGTAGACCAGACCAGGTAAGGATGGCAGACTTCCTTCTCTAAAGGACATTAAATGATCCAGATGGGTGTTTTTTTTTTTAAATACATCAATGACAGTTGTAGTGGTCATCATTATGGAGACTGCATTTATTCATTTAATTTGAATTCCCCCAGTTGTTGCGGTGGAATTTGTCTCAAGGAGCATTATCCTGGGCCTCTGGGTGACTAGTACAGTGATAATCACAAATACACCCCATATCCCCAAGACTTACACCAAGCTTTCAATTGTTCAATGCTACACCCCAAAGTGTTGTCAGAAAGATATTTATTTGACGTTCACTTAAATCAATCTTCTATGCTTCCAAATCTCCCAGGGAATTAGATCCATAGATTTTCCAATCACAGAAATATTGTTTCTGCAGCGTAGTTTAGACTCAACTCACTTTCAAGTACTCTTCTGGCTAACAAGAAGTGGATGGTCATTATTTACTTTTCACTAGTCTTTTCAGACATGCAATCTTATTACCTCAAGGTGTGGTTATTCCTGCCGTTTTAAAAACCATACCAAGTTCAAATTCTGTGTTAGCGGGGTCTGTGCTCAGGGTCAGGAGCAACAATCAATGCAAAACCAGCAAACTTTGAGTGGTGGTAGCAAGACAGCTATCCTGGAATAAGGTCTTTTGATCCTCTATAGTCTAACCACAAATAGGCAGATAGGATCTCAGTTTAATTCTGTACCAAAGCCAGCATCTCATAATAAAGCACTCAACTATCAGTCTACGTCATGTTGTCAAGTGCGTATAAAAGATCAAAATTTCTAACCGTCGGTGACAGCTATGAACTGATGAAAGCCTGAAGAATCTATTCTGCTAGTCTAGATGATGGGTAGTCATCTACCTCAACGCCATAGTTCTGTGCTATCCCCATATCCCTTTATGTCATTAGATAGGAAAGTGTTTAGCACATTTGCCTGCATTGCTCAAACCATTCAGTTTTAGAGTTGGGACATTATGTTGCAGTTGTACAGGTCATTGGTGAAGCCACTTTTGGAGTACTGTGTACAATTCTGGTCACCCTGATACAGGAAAGATATTATTAAATTGGAGAGGATTCGAAAAAGATTTACAAGATATTGCCTGGTGGAGGGTTTAAGCTATAAGAAGAGGCTGGATAGGCTGGGACTATATTCCCTGGAGTATCGGAGGTTGAGCAGTGACCATATAGAAGTTTATAAAATCATGAGGGGCATTGACAGGTTGAATAGCAAGGGTCTTTTACCTAGGGTGTGGGAGTTCAAAATTAGGGGGGTATATTTTTAAGGTGAGAGGAGAAAGATTTATAAGGGACCTGAGGGGCAATTTTTTTCACACAGAGTGTAGCTCGTATGTGGCATTAACTGCCAGAGGAAGTGATAGTCACACATACAGTTACAACATTTAAAAGATATTTGGGCTGGTACATGAATAGGAAAGGTTTGAAAGGGACATGGGCCAAATGCAGGCAAATTGGACTAGTTTAGTTTGGGAAATTTGATCAGCATGAATGAGTTGGACTGAAGGGTCTATTTCTGTGCTGTATGACTCTGTTTTGAACTTACTCAATGACTGGGTTTCCACAGCCCCAGGGGCAGACAATTCCAAAGATTCACCACCCTCTGAATGAAGAAGTTTCATAGAACATAGAACAGTACAGCACAGTACAGGCTCTTTGACCCACAATGTTGCGCTGACCTATTATCCTACTCTCAGATCAAACTAACCTGCATATCCTTCATGTTACTATCATCCATTTGCCTATTCCAAGAGTCGCTTAAATGCCCCTAATGTATCTAACTCTACTACCACCACTGGCAGTGCATTCCATGCACTCACCACTCTCTATGTAAAAAACCTACCTCTGACATCTCGCTATACCTTCCTCCAATCACCTTAAAATTACGTCCCCTCGTGATAGTCATTTCCGCCCTGGGAAAAAACATCTATGCCTCTCATCATCTTGTACACCTCTATCAAGTCATCTCTCATCCTTCTTCACTCCAATGAAAAAAGCCATAGCTCCCTCAACCTTTCCTCATAAGACCTTTCCTCCAGTCCAGGCAGCATCCTGGTAAATCTCCTCCGCACCCTCTGTAAAGCTTCCACATCCTTCCGATAATGAGGCGACCAGAACTGAACACAATATTCCAAGTGTGGTCTAACCAGGGTTTTATAGAGCTGTAGCATAACCTCGCGGCTCTTCAACTCAATTCCCTGCCAATGAAAGCCAACGCCATACACCTTCTTAACAACCCTATCAACTTGGGTGGCAACTTTGAGGGATCTATGGACGTGGACCCCAAGATCCCTCTGTTCCTCCACACTGCCAACAATCCTGCCATTCACCCTGTAATCTGCATTCAAATTCGACCTTCCAAAATGAATGACTTCACACTTTTCTGGATTGAATTCCATCTGCCACTTTTTCATTTGCCCAGCTCTGCATCCTGTCAATGTCCTGTTGCAACCTACAACAGCCCTCCACACTATCCACAACTCCACCAACCTCCGTGTCATTGGCAAACTTATTAGCCCACCCTTCCAAGTCATTTTTAAAGATCACAAAGAGCAAAGAGCAGAGGTTCCAGAACAGATCTCTGCAGAACACCACTGGTCACTGAGCTCCAGGCTGAATGTTTTCCATCTACATCTGTATCCAGGCAGCCAAATTTCCCTGAATCCCATGCCTCCTTACTTTTTGAATGAGCCTACCATGGGGAACCTTATCAATGACCACAATGTCATCACCTCCCCTTTACATCATCTTAAACAATAAAGTAACCTGGTTCAGGTGGAAGGCAATTGCAGAACTGACCCTCATTCTATTGAATGGCAAAGCAGATTCGAGGGGCCTACTCCTGTTCCTACTACTTATGGGCCTCTCATACCTAGATAAAACTCATTGGAGCTTCACCAAGGAGTTCTGCATGAAAGCCTTTTGGCAATCTGCAAGTCACGTTGTACTTAATGAAAAACATCTGGATAACGGGGCGGCACGGTGGCTCAGTGGGTAGCACTGCTGCCTCACGGTGTCAAGGGCCCAGGTTCAATTCCACCCTCGGTCTGTGTGGAGTTTGCACATTCTCCCAGTTTCTGCATGGGTTTCCTCCGGGTGCTCCGGTTTCCTCCCACAGTCCATAGATGTGCAGATTAGGTGGATGTGCTATGCTAAATTGCTTGTTGTGTTCAAGGATATGCAGAGGAAGTGGGTTATAGGGGGATGGGTCTGGGTGGGATGCTGTGAGAGGCGGTGTGGACTTGTTGGGCCAAAGGGCCTGTTTCCACACTGTAAGGATTCTATGAATTAAAATGCCTTGCTAAAATCCATATACACCACATCCACTGCTCTACCTTCATCAATGGGTTTTGTCACATCCTCAAAGAAATCAATAGGCTTGTGAAGCATGACCTGCCCCTCACAAAGCCATGTCGACTATTTCTAGTCAAACTATGCTTTTCGAAATAATCATAAATGCTATCTCTCAGAATCCTCTCCAATAATTTGCCCACCACAGAAGAAAGACTGACTGGTCTGTAATTCCCAGGATTGTCCTTATTCCCTTTCTTGAACAAAGGAATAACATTTGCCACCCTCCAATCATCTGATACTACTCCAGTGGACGCAAAGATCATCACTAAAGGCCCACCAATCTCTTCCCTCACTTCCCGCATTATCCTTGTGTATATCCCATCTGGCCCAGGGAACTTATCTATCCTCATGTTTTTCAAAATTTCTAGCACATCCTCCTTCCTCCAAGTCTTAAATGGCTTCCCTTTTATTCGAAGACTATGATCCCCGATTCTGGACTACACAGCCTTGGGAAATATCTATTCCACGTCTACTCTGTACATTCCTTTAATTATTTTGTAAGTTACAGAGATTGCCTCCCATTCTCCTAAACTCTGGAGAATACAATCCCAGTCTCCCCAGTGTCTCATCATTGGACAGTTTCACCATCCCAGGAATCAGTCTGACAAACCCGTACTGCACTCCCTCAAGACAAGTATATCCTTCCTTAGACAAGGTGACCAGATCTGCACACCGTACTCTAGTATTCTAAACGAATGAAGAAAAATCTTTGTTCTTTTATTCAAATTCTCTTTGCATAAAGGTTAACGTACCATTTTCCTTTAAATTGCTAGCTTTCAGTGCCTTATGAACAAGAATATCCATGTCCCTTGGATATAAACACTTAGCAATCTCTCAGGATTTAAGAAATACTCTGCATCTTTGGTACTCCTATTAAACTAGATAACCTCATACTTATTCAAATTATTCCATCTGCCATTCTGTTGTTCACTCACTCAGCCTATCTAAATCTTCTTGAAGCCTCTTTGCATCATCTCAACTCATATTCTTGAGAAGTTCTGCATTATCTACAAATGAGGAAATATTACAATTGATCCCCACATTCAAATTAATGATACAGGCTGTGAACAAATTGGACCCAAGCATTGACATTTATGTAGTACGCTAGCCACGGCCTGCAAACCTGAAATCGACCCATTTGTTCCTATTCTCTGTTTTCTGCATAACAAACCATCCCTAATCCATGCTAGAATATCACCTCAACACCACGCACTTTAATTCTGATCACTAACCTCCTGTGTTAGACCTTATCGAAAGCTAAAAATCCAAATATAGCATTTCCACTGGTTCCCTTACTGCCTGTACTAAAAAATGTCAAATATAATTTCCCCCTCATAAATCCAATGTCCAATCTGATTAATTTTCTGAATTCCTAGTAATCACTATCTTTGTAATAGATGCAGTAATTTCCCAGGCTGCCATATCTATTATTTCCAGTTTTTTTTCCTCTCTCTCTCCTTGCTTAAATAGCAGAGCTACATTTCCAACCTTCCATCCTGCAGCCACAGTTGCAGAATTTTGAAAGTTGATCATGAATCCACCACAATATTTGGACCCATCACTTTGGACATGCTAGTGGTGAAAGTAATCAAGTCTTGGGGATTTGACAACTTTCAGTCCCTTTACTTTCCCCAATACTACTACTTTTTTTGAAAAAACTTTGTTAATTATTTCAGGGAGACTCGTCTCCCTCTGGCCCGTGATGGTAGCAGTACTTATGTAGCTTTTCAACTGCTCTGCCAGTTCCCATTCCTGTTTCTGCTTACAGCAGTCGCATATGTCTTTGTTAATATTTTCCTTTTTATTTACCTGAAGAGCTTTTACAATCCTTTTAATATACATTTTTAGTTTAGTCATATTCTATTCCCTTTATCAATTTCTTGGCCTTACTTTACAGAATTCTGAAGTTTTAAAACTAAATTCTAAAGCAAAAATATCTAACAGGAAAAACAAAAGTCATGTTTAATGAAGGCAGCTAAAGATTATATTAGATCGAAGGAGGAGGCATATAAAATTGTTTAGGAAATCAAGTATTAATTCTTCCCTACCTGCTATCAAACTTAATGAATTTTTCCAATCCAACACAACTAATTTCCTCCCCATATTTTCATAATTGCTCTATTTATGTTTAAGACTCGTAGTTCAGTCTGAAACTAATCTTTTGCAAATTTAAATGGAAAATTCCATCATACTTTGGTCACAACAAGATTTATAATTCATCCTTTCTCATTGAATAATACTTAGTCAAAATGGCCTGTACACTAGTTGGTTCCTCAATACATTGCTCCAGCAAAACGTTGATATTCCAGGAACTCCTCCTCCACAGTATTAATCCTCATTAAATGTTCCCTTTCTACACAGATTGAAGTCAATCATGATGACATCATACCCCTTGCCACATTCACCTCTAATTTCCAGAATTATACCGAGACCTACATATTTGTGGCCTATAAATCACTCATACTAATGTTTTCTGCTGCTTGCTGTTTTTGTTTTAGCTCTATTGAAATAGACTCCACAACCTGGTCTTCTGATCAGAGATTTACTCTCTCGCAAGACGATCCTCTCTCTTATCAGCACTATCCCACCTTTAACAAAATGTGTCTTTTTCAGCAATATTAACATCCTTTAGGGAAGAAAGTCTGCCATCCTCATGTGGTCTGGCTGCCTTGTGGTTCTAGACCCACAGGAATAACCCTCTGAAATGGCCTACCAGGCCACTCCATTCAAGAACAGTTGGGGATGGACAATAACTGCCAGCCTTCAAATAATTGAAAAACTCTAATAATTAAATAGACTCACCAATTAGAGAGCAGAATTGTGTAATTAGTAATGCAGCCGTATGGTAAGAAGATACAAAAGCATTAAGATAATCACTACACTGATGAGCTGGCCCAGTCTGGCGGTACCACACCGTTTGTGCAAATCTCAAATAGATTTGCTGATGAATATTTATGACAGTTTGAATTGAACTTTGTTGTACAGGGGCAGTGTCAGCAGCTTTAGCCTCTGTGCTCTGAACTTCAGTGTCCATATCTTCTTGTTCAAGACTGGGCTGGGACGTGAGATCAGAAAAATCCTGAAGAAAATAAGGAAAGACCAACAAAATAAGTTTCAAAGACAAATCTTTCAGAGTTTCAGTTATGCTTCTTGTAAAAGCATCCAATAGATTCTTCCTTTTCAAACATTCTAAAGTCATTTCGTGACAGTGCAGTTCACAAAGTTCCAACTTTAAAAGTACCTAGAAACATATGATTTTTAAACAGTTAAAAAGTAAACTGAAATTTTGAAAGAACAGGAGTTCAAAACAAATGCAAAGTCATAAGCCTCTTCATTAAAAGTTAGAAGAAACTTCAAAGGAAACATTATTCCACTTTACCTTGGTATACTGAGGGAAATTCTGTCTAAATTCCTTCTCTTCTTCCTCCTCAGATACATGTTCTTTGCTTTTGTACTTGTACAGGCTGGCTTCCTGCTCCTCCTTCACTCTCCTACATTCTTCCTGCTCATCACAGGCATTTACCATTGCCTTTAATACAATGCAAAAACACAACTTTAATTTTGCAAATTTTAGCTGCCAACCCAAAGGTCAGTAATCTAAATCTGCACTTTTTATTGGAATGTTTTTGGAGGCTTTTATCTGTTTAGCTCCAGCTAGATATCCTCAATTAAGTGTTTTTCTGAGCACACTAACAAACATTATTTCCATACTAGACGTTCCATCACATGGATCAAGTTCAAAAATGCATTTCTTACATCACTTTTTGTAAATGGAGAATTCTGTCCTCATGCCAACTAAACCTGGATTGGCACTAACAAAAAATTAATTCAAAATCGTAGCCTTACAAGCCAACAGAAAGGAAGGGAATTTCAGGTTACTGGCCTCAGGTCTAATTAATTTGGAGGTGAAGCATATCACATTGCACCATCCAATTCTCCTAGGACTGCAGCCTAAAAAAGCACTTGGGCTGAATCAACGAAAAACCATCTACTCTAATTCTGTCAACTCTTGGCTTAATTAGATTTGAAACCACAGTATTATATTATCTCAGTCTGCCACCTTTGTTCCCTTCTCAATTGCTGTTTTTGCTTTAAAAGCAGTGGCTCAAATTGAATGCAGTCTTATTTTATTCTGACCAGTCTTCAACTGAACCTAAATGAGGTGCATAGCCAGGTTATCTAGTCCTTAGAGGCAGACAGCACTTCCCTTTTCTTAGCCATCTTTAGTATCTACCTGCAGGGTTTCTTGAAGAACAGGGTCAGGAAAGAAAACAATATTTATCATGAGTTAATTTTTCAAAAGGTATTAAGTATGGATTGGTTGGAGTGGCAGCTGGACACACAGAGGTGTGCAGGAGGTAGGAAGTGTCGCAGACAGGAGTTTTAGAAACACGGTCACAGCAAGGGTTTAGGCAGATAGATGAGCGGCTACACGAAGGGGCAGACAGACAATGCAGAAGTACCCTGTGGCTGTCACCCTCCTCTAACAAGTATACCTCTTTGGATACTCTTGAAGGAGGGTGGCAACAGCAGCAGCCAGAACAGTGGCACTACAGCTTGCTCTGTTGTACTACAGAGATGGTCAAAGTGCAGAAAAGCAATAGTGATAGGGGACTCCATAGATAGAGGCATAGATAGATGTTGCTGTGGCTGCAAAAGGATTTCAGGATGGCGTGTTGCCTCCCTTGTGCCAAGGTCAATAATGTCTGAGTGGGCACAGAACATTCTCAAAAGGGAGGGCAAGCAGCCAGAGGTCATGATCTATATTGGTACTAATGACTTAGGCAGGAAGAATGATGAGGTCCTGCAAAGGGAGTTCACAGAGTTACGTAATAAAATGAAAAGCAGGACCTCTAGGGTTGTAACCTCAGATTATTCCCTGGGCCATTTGCCATTGAAGTTTGTAACAGGAAGATAGTACAGTTAAACACGTGGTTAAAGAGTTAATGTAGGAGGGAGGACTTCCGATATGTAGATCATTGGGATGTCTTCTAGGTTAGATAGGACCTGTACAAGAAGGATACGTTGCACCTAAACTGGCGCACCTCCAATCTTCTGGCTGTAAGGTTTGCTAGTGTCACTCGGGCGGGTTTAAACAAGCATGGCAGCAGGGTGTTAACTAGAACAGTGGGTCAGCAAGTGAAAATGACTGAAGAGGAGTTAGAGACTAAGTTCAGTGAGACTAAGAGGAAGAACAAACAGAGAGAGTTTACTGAACACAGTGGGTCTGCGGAGTATGACAGGCAAGGCAAATGAACTTGGAGCTTGGATTAATAAACATAGCTACGATATTGTAGCTATTTCAGAGACTCGGTTGCAAGAGGGACAAGACTGGCTGCTTAACATTCCAGGATTTAAATGTTTCAAGCAAGATAGAGAGCTGTCCAAATGAGGTGGGGGAGCTGCATCACTGATTAGAGACAATACCGCAGCTGTACTCAGGGAGAATACTTTGGAGGGGTCATCCAGAGAGAGGACATATGAGAGCTCAGGAATAGGAAGAGTACAATCACTATGATGGGCTTGTATTATAAGACTCCCAACAGCCAGCACATGATACAAGAATAGATACCCTGACAGATTGTGGAAAAATGGGAAAACAACAGGGTTGTTGTGGTGGGTAATTTTAACTTCCCCTATATTGACTGGGACTCCCTTTGTGTCATGGTCTTGGATGGGGTGGAAATTTGTTAGGTGTATCCTGGAGGGTTTCTTGAAGCAGTACGTAAATAATCTAACTAGAGAAAGGGCCTTCCTAGACCTGGTACTGGGGAATGAGACTGGCCAGGTAATCAAAGTTTCAGTGGGGGAATATTCTGGGAACAATTCATGACCAGCATGTTCCTGTGAAAAGTGAAGGATAAGGATGGCAAGATTTGAAAACCTCAGATGACAAGAAAAATTGTCAGCTTAGTCAGAAAGAAAGAATGAAGTGTATGTAAGGTTAAGGAAACTGAAGACAGAGCCCTTGGGGAAGATAAAGAAAGCAGGAAGAAATTAAACAAGGACTTAGGAGCACTAAAGGGGACATGAAATGGGCCACGGCAAACAGGATTAAGGAAAATTCCAAGACATTTTACACATATAAAGGAGCAAGAGGATAGCTAAGGAAAGGCTAGGTAAACTCAAAAATAAGGGAAATAATTTTTGCATGGACCTGGATCGAGTGGCTGAGGTCATTAATGAATACGTTTCACAAAGGCGAAGGACATGCTGGATGGTGAGTCTAAAAAGCAATATGTCGATATCCTAGGGAATGTGGATGTAAAAAAAGATGTTGGTGTTTTAAACAGCATTAAGGTAGACAAGTCCCCCAAAAAAAGACATCATAGTAACCAGGTGGGGAAAGAGAAGCAATTCCTGTTCATCGCTACCCAGTAACTGTATGGAGAGCTTGGTAAGGATAGGTTTGGATATTTGGGTACTGCCTGATGCCTGTTATTATTAACTACAGAGGTTCAGAAGTGGTCAAGTAGGCAAATGGCTGTAGTTTCAAAGAATTGCTTGCATGTTTCGGGAGTGGGGAGCAAGTTATGCAGGGAAAAGGTGGTGGAGAGGAATGGAAAGGACAAAAAGAATTTACTGAGGTAATAAAACACGACATTTGCAGGATTGTATGCACTTTTTAAACATATGCCTTTTGGGGAGATCATAATATCAAAGCATCAAGTTGTAATTACTTGGCAGATGTGTCTGAAAAGTTGCAGTGATGCCTGATCCAGTTCGCCCAATGAAAGTATATGACAACGCAGATACAGGAGCGCATTCATCAGCAGCTGTTCTTGTGTTGGCAGCAACCTTTGTTCCTTAGCCAGAGACTTTTCATCTGATGAGCTCTTACGCAGGAGCTGATTAAGCCCTTTGAGGGTCTCCAAGGAGGCTTTTGAACATAATTCATCTGCCTGAGCAAGGTAAGTTGGGAATGAGAAGCTGATGGAAGGAAAGGCCAAAAGGCAAGTGACAAGTCGCGTGAGGCCAGCCTGCTTAACAAGCTTATTATTTAGCGACACGTGAACCTCAGATGCCAGAAGTCTCATGCCATGCTGCATCTGTAAAATGGCAGCAAGAAGGGGTTCAACAATGTCAGGATATTGACAGTACTCTTCTGCGATTCGTCTCCTGAACTGGTGATGGGACTGCTGCCAAGCTGCCTCCTCATTCAGTACGAGCTGGACACTCTGACATGGTTTAGGCCGCTTCGCCTGTAGGGGCTGTAGCAGTCGAGAGAGGAGGGATTTGACTTTGGACTTCTGTGCAATAGTGTTCACATAGTGGTGGATATCTTGGAAGAGATAATCGTATTGAGGTACACTGGGGCGGTGCGCCTGCTTTCTGGACAGTGCTGCAATCTGTTCCTTCAGGAGATTGATTCTTTGTTGCAAAAACCTAGGGCACAAAAAAAATCAAGTTGGTGAGACACAGCAGAATGTCCCTGCCACACTAGAAGAAATGGAACGTGTTTATTTGGCCTCTAGTTACATACATCCCATTATCAAGTGTCTGTTCATGAACCTACTAATCATGATATGAACAGCATCAAAATCACACTCGTGTACTTCAACTGAAATTTGAAATTTATCTATCGCTTGGTGTTATATTTCTACTATAAGCATACAAAGCAAAGTCTGCCTTTCACCCGAATACCACTGTAATTCTCTCACTTGTTTTCTCTCACTGTCATCAACTCTGCTAACTTGCACTAAGGGATATAGCCCTTTAACTACGATCAGTAAATGGCTGATCATCTGCAACACTCCCCTGAACTTAGTGCTTTCCAAGTGTTTGTGCTGCAATGTAGATCCACTTGGTCAAGATCCCAACATACCTGCTCTCATACGGTCCTTTTAAGAACTAGATTTCTCTGAAAGGAGATTTATGGTAAAGCACCTGGCTTTCAGTTAATGATCAACATAACCAGGTGACCAGGAAGATAAACGATAGAGAAGAAATTACAGGGGGTGGTCTGTGTTCAGTTACGTTTTACGTCTGGGGCTACCAAGGCTGGACCCCAAGCTAAAGTTTGCAGGTTAAGTTTTCGGGGCTGTAAGATTCAAAGCAATTTTGGTTACTGTGGAGCTCAGACCAAGTTACAACAGCCATGTTCTCGCTCATACAAGTTCTCACGGAGAAGTCACAACAATTTTCAAGCTTTGAAATGTGGTCATGGAATGAAATTTTGGGAAGCACCATTTTAGTTTGAACTGAGCTCGTCATGGATGAAAAAAATTCCAATGTCGAGTTTAAAATAAATGCAATGGCTATGGGAAAGTAAAACAAAACTCTTGTTAACTGAAAGGCTCTATTAGAGCCAGGGAAATTCTGACAAAAAAGGTGGCCACGCTGAAGTTGCATTCTTTCAGTAAATTTGGGAGGTGTTGAGTTCGTACAAGAAAAAAAAGTAAACACATTCCTGGTGGTTACAATGATCATAATTTGCATAAAAGAATTCAATGGAGGAGCCTTCACTTAGGTAGTAAATTGACTTTTGCATACACAAACATCCGTGTTTAAAATTACTGTTAGTTCCCACTGTTTTGTTTTTAAACATCAAAAGAAAAACCTCTCATACACAAGGCAGATTTTTAATCAACCTCACACTCCCATAACAGCCCTTACTGGGGATATAGAATTACAAGGTCTGCCACTCAAGATGGTCAGCTACTCCAACAAGCAACCTGCTACAGGATTTTAACCGGTCTGCTTGGCTTGGAGAAGCATAGAGCCTGAGGGATCAGGAAAGGAAGTCATTGTTTCATGTAAACACTGATCTATACAATGTCAATTACAGATAGGATACCAAACTAGATACCTAATTCGCGGATGACAATGTCTATTCTCTCCTTCTTGTAACAGTTCTCGGCCAGTCAATAACTGTTCAGACAGGTTGCGACTCTTCCATTCACTCTGCAATTGTTGCAACTAGGAACAGAAAAAAAAACTGTTAGCAGGCCACATCAACAATTTGTATTTCTTTGACTTGTTAAAATGTCTCAAGCCAGGGAAAGCATCAACAATAATAAAACAAAAAAAAACCCAAGATATTCAACCCCACAGTTCAGGATTTGCAAATGATTTCCTATATTATCCACTGGGATCACTGCGAGTTGTCACCTTGGAGAATGACCCTAACAGCAATGAGAAATGAACCTCGGCTGCAAGGACTTGGCACATCTAAATAACACGATGAGATCTTTAACATCTACCTCAAATGTAAATAATAGATAGTTGGGGTCCCCATTTAACAAGCCATTTAAAAATGCCCCAGGTGTATGTCAACCTTCACACACAAGGTTACAGTAAGTAGAGATTACAAGGGGAAATTATATAACTTTTACGTCAAAACAGCAATTTCTAACCTGTGTGCAGATGACTATCTTTAATATTTTATGAAAATGACAACAAAGCCCATCGCAAACACTAATACTGCACTCCAGCAAGGTCTCCCTTTAAGAGAAACAGCTATCACGGGCATGTGAAAAACTCAAACATTAGAGTCATTTTTAAATCAACTGCAACATACAAGACTCCCTTCATAATTTGAAACAAAAACAGAAATTGCTGGAAATTCTCAACAGGTCTGGCAGGATTTGTGGAAGAAATCAGAGTTAAGGTTTTGGGTCCAGTGACTTTTCTTCTGAATTAAAGTACATGAGTTTGAGTCATTGCAGTAAACGCCAAAGTTGCAACATCACAGGTCATCAATACTGAGTATAACGTGTTTCTAGGTGCATATGAAACATATTAATATTATCCAAAACTTGCATTTATTCTCTGTTCAAATAAGTGAATAATTCTTAAACAAAAAATATAAAATAACTGACCTCCTCCTTGATATAATTCAGCTTGTACAGTTTTTTGACAGCAGGATCAAACATGGTCTGTGGTGTCCAAATCTGAATCTGTAGCAATCCCAGGTTTACCCATAGACAGCCTCTCTGGGCTTTCTCTGAAAGGCTTCTAAAATCCTTTTCTTTACCCACAAATTTCCGTACACAGGTCACAAGAAGTGAAACAACATCTTCGGGCAGTAATCCCTGCTCTGCAAGACTGCTGAGCAAACTCTGAATACTGTGACTGGCTATACTGGTTTTTTCAATGGCAAGTTGGTCACATGTCTGTAAATACTCCTCCTGAAGTTCTTTTGGCAAAAAGTCCTTTATTGCATGAAGCTGTTTGAGTAGCATTGTGCACTGCAATCTGGAATCTGTGAATCTGTAAAATAACCAGATCCTCAGGTTTTCTCCAAAACTTACAAATTAGGTTTGAAATTATATTATTTGATCCTTAAATTTTGACTTTAGCATGGTGAATTCAACAGAGTTGCAGAATGTCTTCAGAACATCACCAGTGTTGATGATTTTTTGATCAGAAATTAAACTTAAAATACAATCAAGCCTACATCTGCATCAGTGAACATCCTTTTTAGACTACATTCGAAAATAAGTTGCAAGATGGGTTATACTCCTTATATTGGGATTCACCTCAGGCAAACATGTTTAGTCACTAAGCTACATATAGTGTGTTATATCCTTAATACCATTGGTGAACGGAAATATATCATCCAAAATTAATCTAAGTCAATACAGGTGGAGAGTTGGAGGTGGCTTCTGAAGAAACTGTTCTAGCAGTACCATTCCTCACCATTGCATCACTAAGATTCACACCATGAAACTGTTACAATTCTGCACAAGATCTTGGTAGCTTCACATGGAGGACTCTGCATTGTTGGTCATGACATTGACAGTCTTGGAGGCGGAGGTGCAAGCAACTCTAGGACAAACTGAACAGCTTTATTTTGGAACTGTTCTGTCTGGGCTAAATGGCAGCAAAGCAGAATCTGTTCAATTCTCCAAGCTCAGGCTCATTCTAATGGAACTGAATCCTAACAAGACAGGCTTAGCATAAGCAAACAAGCTAAAGAGAGAGACAACAACTCCAGAAAGTATATTCCTCTACTTAATTGGTTCTTTTCCTTCCAAAGAACAAGACAATCCAAAGACAAAACTCACATTGCTCATTAATCTTGAAACAGATTGGACAGCTGAGAAACAGCAAAGCAGTTAATTTATCAGGTTTTATCAAACTGGAATTCCCTTGGGAAGTTACAATCGACAGCAGCATTTTAACACAGTACAATATAAAGTTCAGAGCTCACAATCACGGCAGAATCTTCCCAAATAGCATCCAACCCTTTCTCACTCATCAGTTTCCAATGGTATCTTGTAGCAAATCAAAATTTTCTAAGATTTCTTTTATTGGGATCTTCCTGGTCTCTGTCTCTCTTTGTGTCTCTACGTATGACACCCTCTCACCCCCACAAGTGCCTACCTTCTGCCACTGACGGAGCGGCTAGGATTGCAAATTCACTTAAAAAGGGAATGACACACCCTTACCAATCAGTATGGTGGGGGATTTACTTTTACATCTAATTTTCATCGTGCAAGTATCCTGATGAAGGACAACATGACCGTGCACACTTTTTACAAACATCTCCTATAGAAAAGGAGTCAAAAGTAAATATGTCATTTCTATGACATACCTGAATTCAGCAAAGGAACCAACAGCCATGTTGGTCCACAACACTGAACTGATGTCTTGTAATTGTCGAGTTCGCTCCAGCCACTCTCCCAGAGTTACATGAGTTGCCATTGTCATACCAATTCCACCAAAGGACACAGAGTGGCTTCGATTAGTGTTGGCCAGAATTTCAAAGAAACACTTAGATTGGATAGCGCGACATAAAATGCCAGGTCCCTGTTGGAGGAAAATAAATATTCTCTGGGCAATAGTTAAGGATGGGCAACAAATTCTGGCCTTGCCAACAATGCTCACATCCCATCAAAAAGAAATAAAATAATGAAAATGAAACAGATTGTTGAAAATCGAACAAGTTACCAGGAAAGGTGACACAAATCAGAGGAAATGCTGTGTAGGCTGAAAACAAGAAGGAAGTCAAGCCTCATTCATAGCTTGGAAGCTGAAGAAGCAATCAGACAGTACAGAGACAAACAAATATTGAACTGGAGCTGAATGCTGTCCAAATACATAAAGATACTAAGGGACTTAAGTGAGATGAAAAAGATGAATCCTCTGTAGACTTGAGATACTTGGGCCAAATGGGAGCAGAAGCCATTGAGAGATCATTTGATGATATATAAATCACCAAGAATAAATCAAGTGGAAGAAGAGCAGAGGAATTAGGGAAGAAGAATAAAGAGAGAGCATCATCATTGTATTTGGACACAACATTGCTTATTTCACAGAATAGGTACTATTCTTTGGGTGCAAAGCTCAAATTGTCTTCAAAAGGTTGTTGGGAACTGTAGGTTTAATACGACCATCATTTGTGCTAACTGAGGAACCACACATGTTATTTAACTTACAAAAGAAAGCAGACCAACCTTTAACGATTTGTCAATGGTATCTTCTGGAACCATGTCATCTCCTATAATTGCTGGGGGTTTCCAGGTTAGCCAATAGTCAGGATCGGTTGTGATAGAACTACTCCAAAATGGTCCAAACGTGGTCATCATCAGTCCTGAACTCAGCAATTTTAATTCTTCAGGAGAGAGCTGAGATATGAAAACACATTAAAGCTGATTTTAAGTTGCATCTCTAAAATGACAAAGATATTTCCCCATTCTTTCCATGGCATTATCTTCAATGTACATGCCCACATTTATATACAATTTGGAATAAAGCATCATTACATATCTGTCAGGATTAAACTGTCCCAAACAGTAGAATAACATTCTGGATGCATTCAATATTCCAAGTTTCAGCCAACTGACTTGCAAGATAAATTTCCAATTGGGCACCGATGATCCAAATTCCATAAACTGACTGGATATTAAGTAGGTATAAGGAAGTCAATTTTACCATTTTGAAACTAACTAATTATGTTCACAACAAGAGAAACCTATCTATTGTAGCTACAGTGCAGCAATATGGTGGGAAACCAATTAAAACAAGAAAATATGTTTCCTTCAAATCACTCCAGTTCATGCTGTAATTTGCTCAGTGTATGTGATATATACGATATATGCATTTGGACCGTAGCGAGTCAAGGAGACAGCTCACAGCCACCTTCTCAAGGGCAACTAGGGACTAGAAATAAATGCCGGCCAGCCAGCAATGCCCATAAGTGAATAAAAAATGTACTGTGACGATTAGCAGAAATCCATTATATAGCAAAACAAGTAATTTACAAGGCATGAACAAAAACAAGTTGCTGGCAAAGCTCAGCAGGTCTGGCAGCATCTGCTGTTTTTGTTCCGCAGTTCTTTCAGTTTTAATTTACAAAGCATGCTTCTATGACCAATTCTTTCCATTTTAGTTACCAGCAACAGCTTCTGTGAAGTCAAACAAGACAGTTTTTCTGGTGCCTGGGAAAAAATGACCAACTATTATAATTACAGTTTTGCAAGGTGTGATTTGACCAATTGCACTTGTGAACTCACCTCATCAACTTGCGCTAAGTACCAAAATTCTCGGAGATCTTGGGCAGCCATGGGAGTAAATCTTAAGCAGAATGTAATTAATTGACGAAGTTCAGCACCAACCACTGACTGATCCGGCTTGCTTCTGGCACTGCTGGTGATAAAACAAGCTGCTGTTCACTATGTTTAGGCACTTAAAATTGTGGCTTATTCGTCTTCAAATCAGCTGCTTTATTAAAAAGTGAATCTATCCTAATTCCCTTCATATACCCAATTTATAGCTAATGGTTGGCAGTAAAGGGGGGATAATGAAGATAGTTAATCATAGGTACAGTGAATTGTTGTTGTTGGCGATAAGTAATTTGCCACCTTTGCTATTTACAGGCAAACAATAGCATGACTTACATATTGCAATGCAGTAATTCCACTTGCACACCTGATGTACGGAAAATCTCAGATACCCTCATCCACCATCTCAAGATTGAGGTCCAGATCATTGACAAAGCAGGAAAGCATACAGATTAATCCTACTTTTGACTATTTAACTAAAACTAGAAATTATGCTCTGAGCCTCCTAACTTTTGATACTCTTCGTTTAGTAGCATTTATATTAAACGGGCGGCATGGTGACTCAGTGGTTAGCATTACAGCCTAACAGCACCAGGGACCCAGGTTCGATTCTAACTTTAGGCGACTTCTGTGTGGACTTTGCATATTCTCCCCGTGTCTGTGTGGGTTTCCTCTGGGTGCTCCGGTTTCCTCTCACAGTCCAAAGATGTGCAGGTTAGGTGGATTAGGCATAGAATGGGGTAGGTCTGGGTGATATGTTCTTCAGAGGGTCGGTGTGGACTCGATGGGCTGAAAGGCCTGCTTCCACAGTGTAGATGTTCTATGATTCTATATTAAGCTAAACAATAAAACATCTGGTAATAGATGCTCACTGCATAGTTTACGAGCTGCACATTTTAAAATATACTTATGGCTCCAAAACCAGTCATAAAATTATTGCAGTGATTAATTTTATAAACAAGGTCATTCTACTGACGGGGCAGGTTGATAGATAACAGTGTCACATGAATGCGCAGAATAACAGCGTTCAATCCTTCACTTAATGACATGATTGAACTCAAGACTATGAAGTTAATGACAGGTGCTTCCCTGCAGAGGGAGGCTGAAGAAGAAATAGGGTTGAAGAGTCAAGTGCAAAGTGAAAGTATTAGGTTAGCCTAGCAGAGAATTTCTCTCATTATTTACAGCAAGTCACTTTTAAGGCTCTACAGAAAGAACTTTCCACCATTTTGAACATCTTTGAAATTACAGCAGAACTAAAGGGCAGTGTACTATTTGACTTATTGTCAGTCACAAAAGTTGGATGTGTCATAAAATTAGACATTGTTTTACCATAGTTCTCTCTACCTGCCTGCTGGTGTTTAACAATCTTTTTGGTTGTTCTTTTCTTAAGATAGCAACTGTGCTTGATAGCTACTGAAGAAACTTACTTTCTCTTGCTTACCTGGACACTAATGATAGATCCATAAGGTCTGCCACCACTTTATACTTGGAGAGCAATGCCAGATATTCCAGTACGGGCCACAGCTGAATTCTACTTGCTAACTGATTCAAACATGCTCCGTCGAGCTGAGGTGGATCCGCCTTAAGGCTTTGAGAATCTGAAGAGTTTAGAAGTCCCTGAGATGTCATTGCTGAAGCTTGGGAGTCTACCACATGCTGCAAGACACCTGGAACACAAATTGCATAATACCATAGCTCCTTAAAAAAAATCAATAGCTAATTGAGCAGCACTGGCTGAAAAAAAATTTGTGTTGATGTAATTTTAATTTCTTAATGATAGTCTCAATCGCCCCTCATTGATATACCATGGCTGTTTGTCAATGTCCTGGATTTCACTTGCCAAACCACGTGCCATCTTTAAAGACCTCTTCAAAAATCTACATTTTTGACCACTTACTATCTTTCACTCCTTGCTCAACATTACTTTTTCCCCCACTGTAAAATGGTCTCGCTGTTATGTTGTATAAGAGCTATTAGATAAACTTGCAGTACTCTTAACGATAAAAGCCTGCTCAGTTCAAGCTTGGCCACTTGAGAGAAAAAAAGGGACACGATAAAGTTCAGAAATTCTGGTTCTTGCATCTTTCTACCAATAAAAAAAAAAATTTGATACTTTCCATTGGCAGGGCAACATTATAACATTGGTTATTTATTCGGCCAGTACGATTCATGAATTTGCAGCATTATCTGCTGCAGTTTGTATTGTCACCTCAAACTGACACGATCTAATTTCCTCAAAAAATATTTTTAAACTACTTCTAATTATTCATTCAGGGAATATGGGGCTTTCTGGCCATCCAACATCTATTGCCTATGTGACGATGCAGTGGCTTTAAGAGGTGTGTTTTGTCCTGGTTTCTTTGAGACACAGATTGGGGGACAGGTGTTGAGCTGTCTATGAGAAGATAAAGAACTGGTGAAGCCTTGGGTATTGTTTTTTAAATTTGAAACAATATAACAATAGAATCAGCCTGAGTTAGAACAACACAATCAGTGTGAGTTGGTGTGCTCAAACTCACACCCCAGAACAGGATTTTTAGTTCATCTTTCAGCAGAGGATGCTGGGGTTGTGAAGAGATGCCACCTCTCTCTTTGTTATAATTGAAAGCTGGGGCTCGCGCTCTCTCAGAATTATCTTTTGATGTTCTTACATCCTGGATTGGAGAACTACGTGAAAGGCAATCGGTTTTCTGAATTTGCCTTTTGCCAAGGGTACGTTTACAGTAACAGTTAACTAGCAATAGTTACTGTATCTATTGTCCTGTTCAGTTTTCCAATAGAATTAAGTTATTCCAATTCCTCCTTGTTTTGTTGTATTTTAACTATAGCGTTAGAATAAACTGCGTTTTGCTTAACATCAAGTAGTTTGACCAAATGAATTGCACCTGGAACACAACACCTTATGTTTACCTTTAAGGAAAAAAAAAGTTAAAGTCTATACCATCTTCTTAATATATTTTGAAGGGGTCTGGTCTGGTCTATAACACCTATTTTAATTCTCTTAGAGAAGATGAGCTGCTTTAAAAAGGCCAAACTAAACTTGACACATTATATCCAGATTTTAAAACATAAGCACTTAATTACAATTTTACAAGATATTCTAATGCATTAGATTAGTTTTGTTTTTTTAAAAAGCATACCAGCATCATATCCTACTACGTGATTTGCTTGAATTACGAGACCCCAAGCCAACATCAAGCCCCGCTTAACCTTCCAGTCAGTAGCAGTGGTTTTAATTCTATATAGTTGTTCTTTCCAAGTCGCATCCATCATTTTTGGCCTCAATTTCAACACATCCAGAACAGAACTCATCACCTTGAGTTTAGACACACATTCCACAACAGATCCAACCTAAAAAGGTGAGAACATTTTCACCAACATTTTAATTTTTATAGCATCACAGCCTTGAATAAAGCAACATTTTTGCGTTAGTAGAAATCTAACCATTCCAAGATAAGTTAATCTTCCCCTCCCCTCAATTCAAACAGGTAATATTTGCCACGTTTAATTCATCTTGCTGCAACTGACTCAGTTCAAGAGTAATAATTGGTTAGCAGAGTATCTGATATGAGTTTGTCTTTTTTCTAAGTAAATTGGAATTTAAAACAAAATGAAAATGCTCATTTTATAATTGAAAAAATATAATTTCATTATGACTCGATACTAATTCTCTTTAGGACATACAGGAGACTATTTATATTTTCATAATTACTTATGTTACTACGAAGATTGAGCTGTATTGACAAAAACCTCTCCTGTTTTAAAAGCCACCTTTCTGTGGAAATTCCCTCATGAACACCCGAATTTTCGTTACCTAGACAATCCGATAAATTTCCTTGTTATGGAGAAATTGAAAACGTCTTAACTGTGTCTGTGCTTTACATCTCAACTAGTCCTTGTGGTTGCGAGTTGTACGTTCAGGTTAAATAATTGCAGGTTAAATAAAATGTTCATTAATGGACATTAAGATTTTTGATTACAAATCCAATCAATCCTCTCCTTAAATTTATTCAGTATCCCAGCAGCCGCTGCACTCTAGGGTAGTGAGTTGTGCAGATTCACGACTCTTTGAGAGAAGCAATTCCTCACTGCTCCAAATATGCCACTCCGTTGCCTATACATGAGCCTAAAACTATGTATGACCTCTTGTTCTAGATTAACCCACAAGGGGAATCAACCACTCTGTGTCTACTTTGTCGATCTCCTTTAGTATTTTAGATACCGCAATTAGGTCTCCTCTCACTCTTCTGAACTCTAGCAAGCATAGGCCTAAACTGCTCAATGTCTCCACACAAGACAAGCCCTTCTGGAAAGAATCTAGTGAACCTTCTCTTAACTCCTCCAATGCAATCACATCCTTCCTCAAGTAAGGGAACAAAATTGTTTGCAATGCTCCAGATGTGGTCTCATCAATGCACAATACTCTATGACTTGGGTTCGGGTTATGCAGTACAGGAGTCGGGGTGGTGGTTGGGGGAAGCGGGGTGACTTTTTTCCACATTTGGAAAAATTAATAATCTTTTCAACTTATCAACTTATCACCTCATCAAAAAACTTAGTTTACATTGCCTGGAACTCTTGCCTGGCTACCAACATCTCAACATATTGGGCAATCATAAGCTTTTCTGCTCCAATATACAAGCATGTGTATTACCCCAAAAGATCAGGCAGAACCATAATACGAACAGGAGTGTTAAACTTCACTAACCTTGAACGGAAGAGGACGACCCAAACATTTCTGCAGTCCCTTCACACTGGCAATCATTTCACTAGGACTTGCCAGATGGCTCTGCAGATTCACTGAAATCGTGTGAATTTCTTGAGGAATTCTGATGTGAAAAGAACACAAATTACAATGCAAATAAATCCCTAGTTAAGAGCTGCTCAGTTATCATGAAAACCTGAAGAGTTTTGGATCCCACAGACGTTGACAAAAATTAAATCCAAATCTGATTTTAAGGATGACATCACTTAGAAAGTGGACCTAGCCATGTACAAAAAAACACAAGAAAAGGTGAACCTCCTGAACCATGAGGAGAAACCAAACAGAAAAAGAAAAATGGAGCAAGGGTACAGAAACAAACGTTGTTCATTAAAGAGGCGCATTCATACCAAAGGAAGAGAAATTACAAATTAGCATCTCAAAAGGTACCACAATTGTAAGACAGGGATACAAAAAAAGCAGAGAACAGACAACCAAACCCAAATACATCCAAAATACTTGGCATAGAAACTATCAATGAGAACCTGAAGATGTAATAGGACATGTGAAACTTTCTTCTTCTAATCTCCACTATAGTTCATGACTTCAAACGCCAACCTTGCATGGATACCAATACCATAACTATCAATACAATTGTTAATTGCTTTACTAGTTTTCACAGCTCTTCATTATCTCATCTTCATCCTCAATTCTCAATCGAAGCCATTCTGGTTTACATTTCTGTTCCCACTTTGCATGTTCTATGTACCACTTTTCCTTCTGTTTTCTATCTGACTTCTGCTTTGCATAATCATACAATTTCTGGATGAAGACTTAATGCTATTTATTCTACTACATTTTGTGCCTTCTGCTTGATGTTATATTATGTTGCATCTTTTATTTTTCTCACACTATTTTGGCAGTTTGCACCAACCAATATTCTCAAACCTCAACTTTATTGATTTATTACAATCCTATAATCTGATAAATTTTCTCCTTAGTTCAATCTGTTGATTTTATGAAACATGAGGGAGAGCTTACTCAATCTTCAGCAAGAGTAAACCACTGCATAATTATTGTTACTCATTTTAGGAATTATGGATAATATCCAAGTTGAGTTGTACAAAATTAACCATCTCAACTTCAGTAGAAATTAGATGGCACTAATCCTATCAACAATTTATTCACACATCTAAAGGCAATAATTGCACATTGATTCATTTTAGAAGTGCTTTCATTTTATACAAACATATTGGCTTAGAACAGATATAGTACAACTCATCAACCACTCTATAACCACTAAAATTCCTATAACATGATTTGAGGTGGAAAAAGCTCGAGGAGTTACATAATTTTTTTTTGAAGTAATATTGAAGTAAGTACACCGACATCTAGATCAAATTAAACTTTAGCAGAAATTATTCTGCTTGATCAGCCAAGAAAAAATGGCGTAGGTACCGAACTGCCTACACAAAAATTGTGACACAGTTATCCACACAATAAGACGTCTGGCAGCATAACAGAGACAGAATAAAGGGTGTTTCACATGTCTTGGACACAGCAGAGTTTGTCCAAGACAATATATTTTGGACAGTTGATGCCTTTTTTTTTAAGCATCACTGATCCAAGTCACTGTTAAATATTTGCACAATTTGTTTTAAAACAGTTGGCAAAATGCTAGCAGCAGAACTCCAATGCTAACAAATCACCATGTCAAACTTTAACAACATATAATTCATGGTCAACAGATTTCAAATGAGGTCAAGAAATTGCTGTCAAATTTGTTATGCAAAATATGCTTCTAATAACCTAAGATACTCAGAATATCTTCAGCCTCTGAACTGCTTTAGCTATTATGCTGACAAAAAATACTTCAAACTCCTAAGTCAAGAATTTTGCTAAGTTGATACATCTTAAATACTATTTTGACAGAGCACTAAAGATGGGATGCTCCACCAGAATTGTGCAATCAAACCATCAGGATGCTAAGTATAAACAATGCTCATACATACTGGGAAAAGTCAGTTAGCTGACAGAGATGATCTTTCAGGAGATGCTTCATCATCCAGTGCCAGTGGAGAGAGAGGAGCGCTATTCCCTCAGTATCTGTAACAACTCTGTCAGATACTAACCAGAATCGATCCCGCCACAAAGTGCTGCACAATACCTAAGAAAATCAGAAATTGTTGATGATGTTGAAGAATGTCCAGTTAATTTAGCTGGCTATGCAATAGACGTAACAGCTTTCAGTATCTCAATTTTCAGCTACATATTTATACATATTCCTACAACTGTTCAAACTTTCTAACATATCCATCTGCAATAGTTTTAAAATCATATCTATGTGCATGTTTATTAGAAAATAGGTAATTTATAAAAAGAATCTTAATTTCATTGTAATTTAGACTTTCCTGACATTGTGACATTGAAGTGTTTGTATTTATCACCCAGCTCCTCAGCCTGTACTGCAGAGTAACTACAGTCCTTCAACCAACCTGGACTTCTTTGGTTCCCAAATTGTAAGTTTTACTGTCTATAATACAATATATGATAGAAATGAGTTTATAATGGAGGTAAAGTTACATCTGTACACTCTCTGTAGGCTATACCATTTAACATAACCCGGATTTGGTATTTGGCTCGTTAATACGCAACATTCCAGCTACAATTTAGGGGCAGACTTTATCAGAGATAGCAGGGTAGTTACAAATTGCAGTTTCACACCTTCACACTGGCAGGCCTGAAGGAGATAATCAGATGGCCTGTTTTGCACATTGGAACCCGTTCCCTTGGAGAGGTACAAAACTAGCAGATGCACAAGCACAAGACGCAGGTCAAAGACAGTGAGTATTACTTGCCTCATGGAAGGCATCATCTTCTAGATTGGAAAATGAAGACTTTATGCACTGCACAATGCAAGCATCCCAGGCTTCAAAGAAAGCAGCAAGGTGAGCCAAGACTGGGTGAGGCAGGTCATCAAAGCTCATCATTCCTAAACAGGTGACAAAGCCTTTAATATTTCAGGTTTAGCATTTACAACCCTTGCAAAAATTCATCATCTGGATTATTTGTATGGAACTACTTTTACACAGAATATTCAAACAGCAATAAAAAGAAATCTAAACAATAGCACAATTATTTTGCATATATAGCTTCATTCTGTACTAACAATGGTCTAAGCATGGTTTCAAGATTCCCCTCCATAGCTCACAGTAAAGGTCAGGCAGACATAGCCTGAACGGGATTGTTTCTCTTGCTATTACACAATGTGATCTCAAGAGGAGAAAATCAGAGTTGGATGCAAAATGGCCAATCAGAATTTAAATTTACAGCTGGAAATTGAGGGTGGCGTTCTAGTGGATACAAGAATTTCCATGCCCAGTTTCCTGCCATATACTCTGTCCAGTGAAATACACCAAGTAAAAATATCAAATAAATTCTGTCCCATGCTCTGACAAGACATGTGTTCGAATCAATAAAACAAACTTAATTGTAGTCCATCTTTTACAATAAAAATGTTATGAAACACACAATCTCATTTCCTTATTTGACATATGTCTTATTAAGGTTACCTTTCTGGAATGCGACTGACACCCTTAAAGCACTTTGTCTGCCTGATTTTCTTGCAGCATCAGAGGATAGTGATGCCTTCTCCATGTATCCTCTTTCCTCTCTGTCCATCAGAAGTGCCATCCTAAAAAAAAGACAAACATGAAACAATCTATTTTCAGAATCAGTGCACAGAGCACCATTATTCCACAAAAGATCCAAGAACACATTAAAATTTCAATATCTGTCAGAGTACCCAAATGTAGAATAGGTCAGTTTGACGAATAATCAAGTGAGTTGCTTTGTCGTGGATTGTTTTGAACTTCATACACACAGCTTCCAATTACCTGTAATCTCTAACAACCACAATCCTGACTTGTACCTTGTTGGTAGTAGAGGCATCAAAGGAATGACTTATTCACCACAGTTCCCAGCCTCTGATCTGTTTTTGTGCAGACCATATTGATGTGGCTAGTCCGGTTTAGATCCTGGACCATGATAACTTTCCAGGATGTTGAGGGTTTTCACTATATTAATGCCATTGAATGTGCAGGTAGTCAGCTCTTCTTTTATTGAATATAGTTGTTGCCTGGCACAAATGTCACTTGCCACTTTTCAGCCCAAGCCTAGATACTGTCGAGGTCTTACTGCATGCAGATTCAGACTGCTTTACTAAAGAATTCCAGACAAAGCCAATTTGCAGACAGGTTCACTTCTAATTAACCTGATGATTGATTAAACATCATTAATGAGGCAACTGAAGGGAACTGGGTCTAGGGCATTGTGTTGAGGGATTCCTGTCGTGATGTTTGGGGCCAAATGACTGGTCAACCACAGTAATGTTTTGTGCTGAATATGGCTCTGGCCAGTGAAGAACTTGCTCCCTCAACTCCAACACTTTCTATTTTCCTAGGACTCCTCGGTGCCTCACAGCCATGTAGTCAAGGGCAGTCACTGACATCTGGAATTACACTCTTATACACACAACTGGGCCAAGAATGTACTGAGATCTGCAACAGAATAGATGTGCTGGAACTGAACTGGAAAGGGAACAAGTGTAATACTGAGAAAACTACAGGTTTTGCAAAGGTAATTTTTACCTGTTAGCAATGGAGTGGAGCTGTGCTTGAAGCTCTTTTGAACAATGCAGCCCAGAGTATGCCACAGAATTTAATAAAATATCCAAATGCTGCTGGTTCCATCGTGAATCCAAAGGAACTGAGGCACTCTCTGTGAAGAAAAGCAACATTCTATTAGTCCAAGTAGTAGTTGATGAAAGCAGGCATTTTTTTGTTTGGTAGAAGGAGCAGGAAAGGGGAGGATCAGACTGCTTGCATCAGATCTCAACAGAAAAATATAGATGTGTGTTGCCGGTAGTTATCAAGTTCAAATGAAAAGGAAGGGCTATGCGCCAAATGCTGGCAAATGGGACTGGATTAATTTAGGATGTCTAGTCGTCACGGACAAGTTGGACTGAAGGGTCCGTTTCCATGCTGTACATCTCTGTAATTGATAATCATTGATATGAAAATGGGCACTTCTAGATGTGTAAAATTAAGTACAGCAAATTTTGTTTTAACCAGCACTCTAAATAAACTGGCAACAATTATATATCCAAAATAATGGAAGTTTACTGTATTAGTCAGTTGAGGGTGCGAGTGAGAAAGCTCTCTGCTGGTGGGTTTTATATAAGGCAAACCTGCATTATTTACAGCATAAATCACGCAAATAATAATGTACAACAGGGATGTGTATACCCCTGCATTATGTTTCTATTACTTAGTGTGTGTTTTTAAATTGATTATGTATATCCTCTTGATCAACCGGCACACTCCTGATCCCATAGGTGCTGGAACTTTATTGGATTTCTGTTCAAGTTAAACAGTGGTGCTTCTTAAGTCCCATTTTAGGCCTTAAGCATACGCTAGGAAGAGACACCCAGAACACAGAAGAAATGCAACACCTTGGAGGACACATTTTTCAGATAAAGTTCTTCCTGCCTTTGCCATTCATATAGGTGACTACAAAGGATGCCACTATCCTATTTAAAATGGAAATTCATCCAATGTTGGACAATCTGCAATTCAACCAACACCACAATCCTTAAAGACATTGAAGTTTAGACACTGGGACATGGCACTCAAAAGAAGTGTGAAACCTTAAGGACGGGATCAGAGATTGGTATCTAATTTGATGCAACTCTGATAAGAAACTATGAGAAACAGCAAAAAGAAATGCTCAACAGCACAATTTAAATTCAGTCATCTCAATGTTTGTTCAAAGAAAACAGAAATTGTACAAGATATTTCATGTCACATAGTGCAATATTCTTCCTTTTGATTCTGGACTTTGAGAAGGCCTTTTAAGTAGCTGCAAGTCACGTTGTACTTAAAGAAAAACATCTGGATAATGGGATGGCACGGTGGTTCAGTGGTTAGCACTGCTGCCTCACAGCACCAGGGACCCAGGTTCGATTCCACCCTCAGGCGACTGTCTGTATGGAGTTTGCACACTCTCCCCGTGTCTGCATGGGTTTCCTCCCACAGTCCAAAGATGTGCATGTTAGGTGGATTGGCCATGCTAAATTGCCCATAGTGTTCAGGGATGTGTAGATCAGGTGGGTTATAGGGGGATGGGTCTGGGTGGGACGCTCCAAGGGTCGGTGTGGACTTGTTGGGCTGAAGGGCCTGTTTCCACACTGTAGGGATTCTATGATTCTATTTCTAAGATTTTAATTGCGTTTCACCAAATTTATGAAAGTGCCTTCATCAATAAAAAGTCATGCGATGTTATAAAATCACAAATTCCAATGAATCAAAAAAAAAGTTTAAAAGCTCTATGGCAAAAATTCTCATGACATTTCCAGTAAATACAGCCCAATGGCAGCTTTTGAAAGGAATCCAATCAAAAAGAATCTGGACCAATAACCCAAGTCCTACATTATAGCAGAGATAGTAGGAACTGCAGATGCTGGAGAATCCGAGA